CACACAAGGGAAAAATAATACAAACCTTACAGGAAGATCTCTCATAATTATTCAGCCAAAAAAACCTCAGTGACTCAGTGCACTGCTCATTACAAACTAAATTAAGGTGCAGGGCTCTTTCCAGTTAGAAATATTCTATGTACTGACCACAAGGCACAGTCACTAGAGCTCTCAGATAGTCATATCATGATCTGTAATATTTAGTGCCTGGATTCCACTGATTTTGATCACAGCTGAGTGCCACGGTGCATTCCTGGGTCTGGGCTGTGGCTTTTGCAGGACCATTCACGAAGTGAGGTGCTGCTAAAGGCATTATTGCATTATCACTACAGCCAATGACACCGGGTGGCAAGCACACCTTGTGCCAGCCAGGACATGACCACATTACCCTCCTACTTCTTAAGAGTGAGTAACAACTCTATTGCACAGGTTTCAGTATCTCATCACTCTTACCGACCCAAAGGCAGCAGGAGCCTTTGATACCATCGCTGCTCCACAGCAGGCACTGCTTTAAATCCTCTGGGAGAGAGGAATGCAGTGAATCCCTTGGGATGTGACACAGACCTGCAGGCAGGATGTTTCTCCATAATCTCACTTGTCACCCACATGGATCAAAATGCCCAAGTCTGAAAACTTTCTGGCTGCTGAGAGTCCCTTTTGAAACAAGCAGCTCCAGGTAAAGGGAAAGGTGCCCCAGATGTTTTGATGACTTTGATCATGACTGGCAGTTCCTGTGCAAGAATTTGTGAGGCTTCTTTTACACATGCTCAGTGCTAGCTTTGACTGCTGTAAATCACCAAAGAAAGCAAATATAACTTCCGTGTCAATCTACCTTGAACATAATTTGTTTTTTGCACTATAAAGAGATGAAAACCACAGAATTTTAATAGAAAAGTGCAACGTGCATGCTTTTATTCAACACACTAGATTTTTTTGAGAACTGTCAGTTTTCATCCTGCTTACTAATAGACTACTGTGTAAAGCCAAATACTCACAGACCCTCAGGAGAATGCTAATGCATAAATGCACAGTACAAATTAATCAGAATGAAGATGAGTGGTAAATAGGCACTAACCAAGAAACAACTAAAAGGATCAAAAAATATTCGCTGAATACAAATTGTGTTTTAAACTCTGCTCTTTGTAATGAAATGCAATCCTACCAGACAATCAGCTTTTTACTACAGAGCAGCATTTTAAGCATGTGCCACTACAAATCATCTCATCTTTTAAACACTTGAATACATAAACAAATAGTTGCAAAGCAGCAAGATATCTCACCAGCAGCTAATTTATTGTATGACTTCATTCATCTCATGATGAGCAATTCCCAAGTTTATTTCCATTTTAAAGTATCTGTGGATTTTGTTACTGTCTCTTTTAGTTAAATCCTTCTTACTTTTCCACAATAAAGTGGTTCTAATTGCCTACTTGAGACAAGACTTGGCTTTACTGGGATTTATGGATGTAAGTTTGAAATTAAAATTACCCTTCCCAAACAAACAGCAGCAGCTAACACAGCAATACAAATAGTTTTGCTCCCCAGCAGCAGTCAAGAGTCTGGATCCAGAGCTCCTTTGTGTCAGCAGCAATCTGATGCACTGAAGAAAACTGAGTCACTTCTAAGTTCCTCTTTTCAGTCAGTTGGCAAATTTGTTTAAGCAGCCTGCGCTGAAGGGGCAGGACAATGCTCCTCCCAAAACAAAGGCCAGTGCAGCCAGGAGTCCTTCCACAGACTTTGTGGCCTCTGAAAGCAGCCCTAAAGCAGAGAAAGGAGGACACTTGAAGGGTTTATATCCTAATTAGAATGATCTCATGGACACTCGGGCAAACCTTCATGGTTCAACAGGAACCGCATCAAATGAAGTCCATCTAATAATTTCTGAGCAGTTCTAGCTATAAAATAATTTGACAATCAACTGGGCATCATTAACACAGACTGTATAATAGGCAAATGGGAATCTAATAACTTTCTCTAAGTTCTATGTTATTACCACTTGAAATTGCCATTACAATATTCTCTCATCAGTATATTCTTTATAATTCAAACTGTGTGCTCCTGCAGAAATTATTAAGAAATAAATGCTGTTCAAGGAACCATACCAGGCTTTTAGAAGAATGAAGTATTTTTTTTTACACTTCATGAAGACCAATGTAAACTGACACAAAGCCTGTCTCTGGCTGTTCTCACATTCACTGGAACATAAAGCCCTCAGTTTTGGGGTCATCATGCAAGGAAACCAGCCTTGAGCAGCAAAGGGGAGCACCACTGTGCAGGTAACTCACTGTCCTCTGCTCTGAAATTGATACAGGACTGAAAAGAGCAGCATTTGTACTGTAATACAGCTTTGAAACAAAACCAGGTGTCTTCGATGTTGCCTTTAGAGAGTCTGCATTAATTTGTGAATTGATATTTTCACAAAGAGATACATGAAAACAAATGCAGATGCAGAGTGAATAAAGAGAACTGAAGGGATGTGCTGGGGATATGCCTTTCATACAGACATCAAACCTGTTATGTATGCGATGATACATTCAGATATTTAAAATAAAACATTTGGAAAGGTGAAGGCTCCTTTGAGAATCTTCCTTTCAATATTTTCATTTTGAATGTCTCTGACTGGATTCAAGATAATCTCTAGGGTGGAATTTCTAGGCAGAGGGCACATGAATTCCCCCATGAGGCTCTGCAAAAGGCAATATTCCTGCACAGAAAACTAATTAGCCATTCATTTTCAAATGCCATGGAGGGAGTCCCCCTTTCTGCCACTCACTGGTTAATGCACATTCTCAGTGCTCTTATGGGTCAGGAAGTTTCCTTAGGAAACCTGGTAAAAGCTGGTCGTATTTTAGTTTAGTCTCCAATAAAGCCTGCTGGGAGAGGGCAAATGAAAGTGGACATTTGGAGCTCATCAAGCTTATCCAGCAGGAAGTGAAAAACAATCAAATGTCCACCTCTGAAAGGACATGTTCAAGCTCTGAAATTAAAAATGAAAACCTACCAAAACAGAACAGAAATGCACCAACCTTTCTTCAGTCTAGTTCCATTTAGTCCTCAGCTATGACACATTCTCTGTGTATCATATTAATTTGAGAGTCAGCCCTGCATTATTTTTATGCCCACAAAAATATATCCCAAAAATGATAATACCCTGGGTGAGTAATATTTCAGTAATACTTTGCAGTCAAATAAAGAACTCTTGCACTACCATATCCCTTAAGGTACAGCCAGACAGCTCCTCTGCCAGTTCCCAGACAGCTCATGGAAAGCCAGCAGGTGTGACAAATGAGCTGGAGTTTTCTAGACTGTGCTTTACAACAGATGTATTTACACATATCACAATCTACTGGTGGGGATGGTGCATGCTACTGCCAAATGTTAGATGAAATGTTACCAAACAGAAGTCTCCCACCAAATTCCCATCATGCTGACTATTGAGATCAGCCTGCCACGTGTAATTTTTCATGTTATGGCACGTCCTCAATCAAGTATTGTTTAAGCTATTGTTACTATTTTAATTATCCTTCTCTTACTCACCAGTACATGAAAAGTATGTATTTTACATGAACAAAGAAATTGCAGAATTCCTGTCTAGAGACCTGTGCCACTTACATTTTTAAGCTCCTTCATAAGCTTACTTAATAATTAAATTTAAAAAGATACATCAGAACCACAAATCTGATCCCACTCCTGGTTCTTACTGCTCTGCAGAGGGCTCTCCCTTTCAGGCAGCAGCAGAGGATTTGGGCTTGCCTGAGCCGCCGATCTTTGTCACAACACCTGACATTCCTGGAGCAGGTGGATGCCAAGAAGAGCCCCTCGTTGGCCCCAGCTGGGCCAGCCCCAGGTGTCCCTGGGGGCTCTTGGTGACAGTGTGGCCTCAGGCAGACCTTCCAGAGGAAGAGAAGGGGGTTCCTAGGGAAGTTGTCATCATGGAGGAGCCCGCAGGGGCCGGACCCTTCGCACCTCTGCCACACCAAGCGGCACCTCGGGATGCACTGGGGCACTTGCAGGGACAGCACAGGACACGCTGGGCTCAGGAAACAGCTCACAGGCCAGCCACAATCTTAGTAAAATGCAGCACTACTCGTGGATTGAGCCTGGTGGAGGTTACTACTCCCTCATGGCAACACCACCTACGGTGTTCCAACACAGACAGGATTTTGTTGCAGCACCCTCTGAGCAGTGAAACACAACACTACAGACACAGCCCCACTCAGCAGAGGATCACAGACACACATCTCAAGGGATGCGCCAGGCTCAGTGCACTTCACAGACACATAAACCGTGAGTATTAATCTGGTGGTGTTCTATAATTGTGTTGCTTCTTCATATGGTAATGTCTGTTCACACCTCCAAAAATACTTCTCTTCCTTCACCAGCATCTTAACTACAAATGTCTCAAACAGCGCTTTGAACGAGGGCTTTGTAACTGCCCAGGCTGTCAGCAACTTGGTTTCTTTGCATGTCTTTGAGGAGAGCTGAGCAATTAGAGGCATTAAAAAAAGAACCATAAGAAAGCCACAGTCCACAACTGCAACTTACATTTAAAGTGAGTTCTGATTTCTTGGTCTTTGACACGTTTTCAATAACTGCCAGAAAACCTGCAGACTTCCAAGGTTTGCTAGCACAACTGTGGCACTGCAACTAAAGCTTGTGTATTAAAATGCATTCTGAGGAAAAAAATCTAACTTGTTTTCAATTCCATTGTTTGCATTTCACTCTGCACTTGTTAGTCACGTGTTTCATGCACTTAGGAAAAAGAAAGTTTTCTAAGATTGAAAAAACATATTTATTATTAGCATGTTCCATAAATATTTGCTTAGTAGAGAAATATGTGGATAACTCTGGATCTTGGCTTTACAAATAGCAGGGGCTCTAGAGACAACTTAGGCACAAACTAAAAAGCAGAACACATTAATAACTAGAAAATATCTTTAAATATTATTTTACCTCTAAAAGTGCATATTTTTCAGAAATTTCAAAATGAGGACTCCTACCTCTTCCAAAGCCCATAATGAATCAACCACAGGCTTGATCTTCTTACTGTTATATAGATTTAGGAGTTTGTCCATCACACCCTTGATCAGGCCGCCTCGATTCTGTTTGAAAAGTAGATTCAGCAGGGAAAATCCAGCAATGACTTTGTTCTCCTCATACAGCTTGATAGGATTTACTTTCTCAACCTGCCACCACTGGGAAACCAATAAACAACAGCACGGTTAGAAAAACATTTTTCAAGAATTGTACAGGAAAGTTCTCAAGCAAGCTGTCTGTGCAGATGTGATCAATGACTCATCTGCCAGCTCTGAAGCAGCAGCCAAGAGAAGCAGCAAGGATTTGATTTAAGGATGAGGAAAGAAAGTGTGCAGCTGACTGAGAAGCAGGAATGAAACAAACCCGTGTTGGAGGAGGTCAGGCTGTGAGAAGGATGGTGAACACATCTGGGTTTGGAAGAGGGTCTGGCAGCAAGGAGTCTGGATTTCCTTGCCCCTTCTGCTCTCCTGCTCTCTCCAGACAGCCACTGAAGTGCCCAGATGTTCACTGGCAGCTCCTGGCCATGACTCTGCTCAAAGCCAAGGGAACCAGGCACTGCCTATCAGCTGCCAGTTCTCCACATCCATTATTATGTTTATGACACTTGAGCATACCTCAGAGTATCTGATGAAAGGATTTTATTTCATTTAGCCCAAGAGCATCACTGAGAGTGAGAGATGCCACTTCCCTGCAAATTTCATTTGACTGGGTAAATTTTTAATTAGAATTTTCATACAGTTTTTATGAGCTAATTTTGCAGCACAATTACATAAAGAAACTACTTATACTTGTATACAAAATTTGTATGTTCTTTTCTTCCTTCAATCTATTCACATTTATTCCATCAGTAAATACCAATACTATCTGAAAAATACTTCAGCTGAAATTTATTTCATTGGGCCAAGCTACCCTACACATTATAAGCATCTGGCTATTCTTACATTACCAGTAAAAAGGCTGCATAGCAATGATTACCTGGTTTTTGGTCACAAGTGTGTGACAATGACAAGGATCCTCCCACTACAGCCATTAAGACAATGCAGGAGGCAAAGAGTAGCTCCTTGCTACAGTCTCTGACTTGTTTTCAGCTACACAGAGACTTTTGAAGACAATTCCTCCTGGGAAGGGGGTGCTGCTGGAAGCTCTAAATGAGATTTTGCCAAAAAAGATCACAGGACAGATGTTCAGAAAAGACTTTTCCCTATGTTTTTCCTGTATGAAGGAATTGCTGTCACTCCTGGTTAACTTATTTCTTGCTGGCAGTTTATATGATTTTTTGTCCTACTTTTGTTCTCTAGGATTTCTGCAAAGATTTCTGTTGTTGTAGTAAGCTGAAGAAAAAAAACCAAAACATTTGAACTTTGAATTTCTTGACATCATCAATTAGGAAACAAAAGCCACGTCATCATCTCTTTGATGTCACTTGAACATGGAGAACTGAAAAATGTTTTTCTGTATACAACAAATCTCTGAAAAGCTGAAATTGACTGGACACAGGCCCCAATTAAGAGATACATCTCCTTCAATTCACTGCATGGTCCTGACAGTGTTTTCAGAGACAAGTAACCTTCATCGTGCAGTTAATCACATCCATGGAGGTGATGTTTTGCCACAAATAAATAAATAATGCAGTTTAAACTTAGCTACTTAGCTGTGTAAGAAATCTATGTCTCACAGACAATTTCAATGGCAATGTGAAATGCACACAGATCCAATTCTCATCTAGCTGTGCTGCCAGAAGAAAACATGGCACAAAACCACAACATCAGAAGTAACAACTTAGCAGAGATAAATGGAAATTATGAAGATAAAAAGCTACAGAAAAGACCAAAGTTAGAGGAAAGAGCATCATCACAGAGACACTTACTGATTTTGCAAAACTGAAGAAGCTTTTTGTCTCCCCAGTAACCATGTTAGATGAACCTGCAAAAGATGAGCACATTCACATACAACCTATTATTACAAGCTACAGCAGACCATTTAGTAATGTAAAATAATCTCTGTGATTCATATTTAAGAAAAAAAAAAACATGCCCAGGTTTAAAAGAGATTAGTAAAAACCCTTTGAGAATAAAAAATAACAAAGAAGCCAAGGCAACCAAGCCCTCCAGGCTTACAGGAATTCTGAGAGGACACTGGCAATCTATCAAATGGTCAGGGGCAGGTTAGGCTGTGTTGGGCACCAGGAATCCCTCTGGCTGTGCCCTCCAACAGGAGCTGCCCCACGCTGCAGGGCAGCCTGGCACACAGCAGGGGGATGGTCTGCTCCATGTGAGGAGCAGTCCACAAACAGGAGTGGAAATTTGTGAACACAAGCCCGGGTTGGATTCCTCAAAGTCATGTTAAATAAACCCAACAGCATTCTTCCTGAAATTCTTTCTTCAAGCTTCTCTCTCACAAAAACTACACTGAAGTTCCTTGGCCACACAATGATTCCCAGAATGAGAGATCCAGACTTTCTCCCATGCTGCTCCTGTATCACCCAACGATGTTTAACAATCTGTAATGTAGGTTCACTTTCAGTATTGGATTTGCTTTTCTAAATAGTTTTAAAACATGTTTTTATATTACCATTTATTTATCAATAATTTTATCCATGGTCAGCTTCACTAAAACTGTTGATTGGAAGTGATCAAACTGAGCAAGCACAGCATGTCAATCACCAGCTCTGGAAGAAGGGGCATGGACGCTTTTAAGCTCTGCAAAGCTTTAGTTTTGAAATGTGTACCTGCTTTTTCCCACTCACCATATAAAATGTAAGTCCCAAGTGGTTTGAGAAGACTGAGGCCTTTCCCAGTATTTTCTCCACAAAGACAGTCCAAAACAATATCTACTCCATCTGCTGAGATTCTAAAACAAGGAAAAATCTCTTACTTTGCAGTAAGATACACAGGGCTGGTCAGGCTGGTTGTTAACAAAATGCTAACATTTTCCAGGTTCTTTAGAAAGGACTCTAAGGCCGAGACTTTGACTGTGAAAATTTTACCCTCATCAAAATAAATTTCAGACCCATTCAGTGGCACAGTGCAAGTTTTTCAGGCTAGCCAACCCATCCCTCTTAGGCATTAAAGAGGGGGAAACCATCTTGTTCCCCCTTTTTCAGGGCTTTCAGGAAAATTATATTAGCAAAATACAGGCAAGAGATAAAAAGTTCTTTTTTGACTGAATCCAAGTATCAGCAAATGCTGGTTTAGTGAATAGAGAAAAAGGATATTTTTCTTATTCACATCTAATATTATTTTTCTGAATTTGTAAGGAAACAGATCTTATCCTAATTTCTTTTCAGACAAAATTACTTGTAAAGTTATTTGCAGAGTCTTCTTCTTCAGATATTTTATCAACTAGCTATCAGCTAAGACTTAAATCAAGCATAAAGAGAAGCCACCAAGAGGTAGAAACCCAGCACAAGTGTTACAATCAGGCATTTTGTACTGTTTCAATAAACAGCTTGCATATTTATAACTTTCCAACAGCTCTGTCAATGCAATGTCAATATGATGCTGAAGAGGAAAAAAAAAATACACTGAATATCCTGATTTGGCCTTGTAACGCATCTTTCAGCTTCCTCACAAAACAAAGGTGACACCCAGACATCCATTGGTTACAAACAGCAGCAAAACCAGGCAACTTCAGTCCCTGGTACTGCTGCCACATTTGGGACAATGAATTGCTTCTATTCAGGCCACTGGATCAGCCTCCACTGTAAAGGAATAAACATTTTACAAAGAAATAGCTTTTGGTGGCTTCCCTGGTTGAACTGATTCCTCATCCCCTATGAACAGTTCCACATTCATAACATCTCTTATGGATTTTTTTGGTTTTTTTTCATTTGCTTGGAGTCATTGGTGGTTGCTTTGGTTTTGTTCCGGTTTGTTTTTAGTTTTCTCCCTGCTGCATGCCCCTGTGACCTGCAATAAAGCAGGTTCCTACCTCTGTCCTTTCTCCATCACAGCTCCATCCTGCTCTGCTCACAGACTTTGAAGAAGTGAACACTTTAAGCAGAACACAGTACACAGCCAATATCCATCAAACCAAACAACTGCCCCACTCCCTTGCTGATGCTGCTGCCAAGAGACAATTTGTCAAAGCAGCACTCTCAGAATTACTGCTGGTGGTTTATTAAAGATCTTTTCAATGCAAAGGGAAAATGGAAGGATCTGAGTTACAAATCAGAGTGCTGGCACATTCTACAGGGTGCCACTTCCGTCTTGCAATCAGGACGACTCACTGAGCTGATGTTAAACACCCCTGTGCCAGGAAAGAAGCACAAACTGGCTTGTTACATCCCTGGTTTTTCATCTCTTGTACCCACCCTGATTTCTCCAGCAATACCAGCCTGCAGTGCTAACAGCCCAGAGAGAAGTTCTGCCACCTCCACCAACACCAGTATCAACAGTTAGACAAACTGAAAACCAAAGTGTTTGAAAGCATATAAACAGAAACACACATGATGACTTCAAAAGGCAACAGGATGATTTTAATCTGAATGCAAACAAACAAACTCTAAGGATCTGAAATTAAAGCAGACATCATGTGCTCTGATATCAATCCCTGGCAGAGGATAAAAACCCAGGCAGATAAAAGCACACCAGAAAACTCCAGAACCTGGATCCCTTACAAATCCACTGAAAATATCTTATTTGGTGCATTACAGTAAGCAAGTACATATGCAAATGAAGGCAAAGTACATCCTTCTGTTAAGACCTTTAGTTTATTTCACTTAATTTACTTTGCTCACAACAGATTCCAAATAAGGACAGGGATTGAAAAATTTCATGTTGCTTATCAAGACATAGGGAGATGCTTACTATCCTGTCCCTAGTGGACAGATGGAATAACTGGAATAAACTACAGCTCCCAAACTCACAAATGTAATATCCTTCCATAAATATGATCAGCCTGGTGCCTTTCATAGTATTTTGCCACGTACTATACAGACCTGACTCAGGAAAACACAAGATTACCTTTTTACTTCTTGAACATAGTCTGCGTTCCTGTCAAACAGGTGAGTTACCGAGTTTTTGATTGCTTCATGTTTGAAAGATGAAGCTGTTCCAAAAACGGTAACATTGGGAATGGTTGAACAGAGCTGAGCAACAGCTTGACCCTGCAAATACATTATTATGTTAGTTCACTGGCATGGAAATTGGTTGACAGAGTTTGCAGCTGCCCATTCGCTCCTGACGCAGCAAAACCCGAGACTGAGCATGGGCAAGCACTTCCCAAACCAGTTTATTTCCACTGAAATGCAGTTCAGCCACAGGAAAAAAGACACTAAATCACAAGGATATTCTGAAGACAAAGCAGTCCTAACACAGTAGGATCATGTCTCCTGAGGGTCTCAGTGGGAGACAGCAAATTGCTGTAACAAGTCCTGCATAATAAAGAAAATCTTCTTTACCTCTTATTGATAACAACAGTTATTACTGAGTATTCAAAATGCAGAAATAGCCCCCAGTCACTCTAAGAGAGGTCTGCTGAAGCAGGGCCCCAGGCTCAAAACTGATCAACAGCAAAAAGGATAAAACAGCCCAGAGCAAGTCCAGGAAAATTATTCTTCCTCCTGGTCTGGGCAGGAGCCCAGTGGAGTCCATCAGATGCTATGCCAGCCTTTAGGTAGCACTTGGGGCATTGAAGAATTTGTGCAATCAGATGTCTGTACTTTGAGTTTCTAGTTTTCGGCCCCAGAAAGCTTTTATAGAATTTTTACCTCTAATTTCATGAGGCTGAGAGAAGGGAAGCTTAACAGCTGAGCCATCTAGATTTCAAAAACCATCCTGAAAGGTCATCTTTCTACAAACCTAGGTTTTGTTTTACTCTTAACACACCAACAAAAGAAAACCAGACTTTAGGTAGCCACACCCTACCCTCCCTTGCAACCACGTTTTTCCACTGGAGACAGTGGATATATCCAGAAGTTTAAAAAAAGGCACTGTCATTCTAAAAAAACTATCAGATGGAATTCAGCAGACTCTTACTTACATCTACAGCCTAAAGATTGTCATTTGTAAACTGTATGCATGATAGTAAAACCACCCAGGGACAAACACATTTCTGTTCACTCCAACCAGAAACCCTGATTATTAGTTGTACATCCCAGTAATTAGCACTTGGGTTTTATTTAGAGCAGGATAATTAGCTATCCCTGCATAGCCTGGAGGTCTTGGCATCCTCATGGATTCTGCTGAATGTAACTCCAAGCTGAGCACCACCAGAGAGGGCAAGGGAATTATTTACATATGATGGCACCAGGAATTTCAGAGAGCTTTCCTGCTGGGTTACTCAGTAAATGCCTGCTCAGCAAGGCACAGCTCAGGAGATCTTTAGACAGGCAAACACACACAGAAAAGAGAGCAAGAGAAGGGATCATTCTCATTCCTGCTTCGCAGATGAGGGATGGAACACCACAGCAGGTTGAACAGCTTGTCCAGCAGCTCAGAGAAGCTCACAGGTAACAATGCTTACTTCTGGCATGGTAAATCCAACCCCCCAAAAAAAATTACCTCTTCTTTTTAAAAGTGTCCATTATTTTCCTGGGATGGAATCCCTAATCTCTCAAAAATCTTAAGAAAATCCATTCCTGAGGGGTCTCATCTTGAAAGATGTAATGTTTTCAGGGAGCAGAAAATGTTTCAATATTCTGATATTTCATGTCTCTATTACTTACCATCTCATTCTAAACCCTTCCCAGATTTTAGCCTCCACAAATAATGTAATATAAAATTAAAAGAAAAAAAATTGGGGATTTTGTAGCTGTTCTTTTCTTAGCAATTTTCCTAAGCAATTGTCTTTTCTCACTTCTGTGTCTCACAGAAACCCAACACCCACAGTGATTTAGATAAATCAGTAATTTATAATGCATGGTAGTTGAATGAAATTCTGACATTATTGATCTATTCTCTAATTAGTTTTCTGCATTTTCAATCTAACTTGGGCAGAGAAGGGCTAATGAGTATATCCTGAATCAAAACCACTGAATGTTTAAAAGGTCAAATATTCAAGAAGAAAGCATGTTGATTTTTATCCTTCAGAAGATGATTAACATTTAACAAACTGACAGTGAGATGAATAGGAGAAATGCACAAAAACACTGGGATGTGAATAACCTATTTTCCTCCTGACTCAAACTCTGTAGTACACCTCTCCCTCCCCCCGGAGATAAGCTTATCTAAAATCCCAGATCAGCTGGGAACACCTTCCAGCTTTCTGTAGATATTTGAAGTCCACAACTGACTCATGTGACCAGCTCTTTTATAATTGGATGAAGTGTTTTGAAGCAATTCCACAAAACACTCTTCTACAGTTTTCTGCAATCTTAATTTGAAGTTGACTCTTACTTATGTCTGTGCAAAGTATTTTCAGTAGCTCTATCAGAAATCTAGGAATAAAGGCTGATATTGGACTTTTCATGCTTTCCCCATCAAAACAGGGGAACTGAACTCAACCTATGAACTCAACCATTTCCCTAATTTCTGTGGAATTCAGCTAAGCTCCAAAACAGCACCGTGGCTATGCAAGTCACTCCTAAATCTCCTTTCTAATCCCTCAAATCACAGCAGCTGCCTCTGGATTAGTCACCACTGTTCAGCAGGTGACACATTTTAATTGCAAATACTGAGACCAGTGTTCAGAATACCCCGATTCACAAATGAAGCCTCCACAAAGGGTTTTGCTGCTGAAGCTTGTCCTGTCACTTGGATCCTGACAACTGCTCTGTGGCAAGCAGGGACAAGAGGCTTTTCTGTCTCCTCCCTGCCCAGGCAGAACCACCTCAGCTCTGCTACCAGCCTCTCTGGCTTTGGCAGCAAGAACCATGTTAGCAGAAATAGTGTATGATCTCCAAAACCTTCCAAGAGGGTGCTAAATTATACAAGCATGGGTTGAAAAATATTCTTCACATATCTAATTTTTTCATATACAATGCCCATTTCTAAACAGATGTACTGACCAGATTCTTGCTTTCTGTACCAGGAAAACTAGTAAGTTTTAATGGCAAAAAATAATTATCACTTGGACAATTAATGCTACCTTTAATGGAATTTAGCAGTCTTTGGGAATAGAAAAGAAATCAGGGATAGACATGGTTACACAATATTCCCTTAAAGTGGAATTAATCTCCTTTACTATACTCATATATTTTATATACTACTTATCACAGAATCACAGAGTCACTCTGGATGGAAAAGACCTCTGGGACCATCAAGTCCAGCCACCAGCTCAGCACCATCACCATGTTTTATCACTAAGTTGTCCTGAAGTGCCACATCCACATATTTTTTGAACACTTCCAGTGAGGCAGAACATCATGTGGTGAAACCTTGGAGAAATTAATGGCTTGGATTGATTAGCTTAGATTAAAGAAATTAATAGCTTGTGGAATGAAGGATGTCTGCTATTGCTGGATGTGTCTCCCCAGCTTCACAGTCTGCTTGATGGATTCCTCTTCAAGATATCCTGTGAATTCATAAAACCAGTATGTTGAACCTAATATACACATATGATTATTACAGAAATTAATATAAATTTATAGCCTTACAGTAGTTTTAGATCCAGAAAAAAAAAAAAGTCTCCATATTTCATTGCTTTAAAACCCAAGTCTAAGCCTGCAGGATTGGAAACTTCTCATACCAAGATAATCACCTAAAATAATGGAAAAGTAGTTTTCTAGGAAGTAACAATGAAATAGACTGTTTAGTGCATTTCAACAATTTCAAAGAAAAAAAGTCATCGATATTTAAAAGTCAATATAGAAAGTATGAATAGAATGAAACTCACTAATCTAATTACCTTGTTAACACAAATGCAATGCTGGATGAAATCTAAATAAGGTGTACAAGTGAGTGGCTTTCCAGAAGGGTCTGACCTAATGCCACCAGCCTGACGTGCCAGTTGCACGCTGAATTACAGCAGATATGGGACACCATCCTTTCAAGAAAGCATCTTTTTGCTGCTGTGTAAACTGAGGGCAGCCTGAGAGCAGGAGAGAATAAACCATGTAAAAGACACCGCCCTGCAAAACTGTATCAGTAAAGAATCACCATTTTTATGATGTATTTCTGCAGCCTAAAGGTGCTACAGCATTTTTAAAAAGAGTATTCAGACTTAATATTGCACAAGAAACTTGTCTGGAGCTGGATGTGAGAAGAATCCAAGTTCCAAAATGCTTTGATTCCACCTAAGCATACCTGAAGGTGTTTTACAGTACTCAAACACAGTAAGAAAACTGCAAGGGGCATCATCTACTGATCTTGTGGCATCAGGAAAACTCTTCTCTGGCGTTAGGAGAAGTCTGATACGCAACTTTTCATCTCCTGAAGGTGTCATTTCCCAATTACAGCAGAGGAAATTGGAAACCAAACACTGGGTGAACATTGCAGAGTGGACAAACTAAAATGTGATTATTGGACAAGCATAAGGCAGCGTCTGCTACACTCAGCTCACCACAAATGAGTTTTGGAGTGGAGGCAGGGGGACAGTGACCCTGAGATAATGATCTCTCTCACCCTCACATTTTCTGCAACAATTAGCAGGGTGTGTTTTTCTTACCCCTTTGCAAAACTGTACAGCTGAGCTGCATCAAAAACTCATCTGGCACAAATCCTCTGCAGCTCAGTGGAGCTACCCCAGCAAAACTCTGCCAGGGGAAACAAACTCCACCTGGGAAGGCAGAACAGCCAGGGCAGAGCTGAGCACTGCAGTGACCTGGGGACAGGGCATGTCCTCTGGGGAGCGCAGGGCTGCAAGAGGCAAGAAGAAAGGGCTTCAAAGGCTGCAGTTGCTTCAGTCAGGGAAATTGCTCTCTGTGCACGGCTCGCTGGGCTTTTGTGTTTGATGAGCAGATTATGCTCTGAGGCAGTGTCTGGAAATGCTCTCACCAGGGAGCACATCCATGGCTTCAGAAGCCTTCAGTGCCTCCACTGCCCGGCCTGGCTCCAGCAGCTGGGTACTTAGAGCAGCCCAGACTTGGTGGCACAGCGTGTGAGCTGATTTATCCCCTCCCTTGGCTGCTGGAGATGAAACAAGAAAAGCACTTCATCAAATGCAGAAGAGCTATGAACTGCTAGCATGAAAACAGCCAGTGCAGGCTGGGTAGCAGGTGAAGGTGTC